GTCATCGTTTTAGTCCGCAGCGTAATAGTGGATACAGGTAGAATGTAAGCCTGTTGAAAGCAGCAGTCAGTCTTTGTGCCTGGCATATTGCAGGTGCTTACTGAATACTTGTTGAACAAGGGACTATCCAGTAAATGTTGGAATTACCAAGGGCAGGAACATGTGGTGGCTCATGTGCAGCTAGTGCGTTTACCACTTGTGTCAAGCCTGTCTTCATCTTTATGCCAGCAGTGTGTGGCATTAGGTCTTGGGCGTTGCTAAGTAGGGACACGTTCTCGATAATACCTATCTTTCCAAACAGTTTACATAATTGGCTTGTTCTTGTTTCATATCAGTAGGCTAGATCTCATTTTTATGTCTGCAGTTTTCACTTTAAAATCCCTTAAGCTAATTCTTTCTAGGGTACATAGCAACACCTAGTGGTTTTGTGGATTATTTCACAGACTGTTTCTAGAAACAGTATCCTGTTTTTTTTCTCCTTTTCATTAACTTCTGCTTACTTGATACCTTTTTCTTCCTCTCTGTTAATGAACAAATATAATTTACTCTTTGTAGTCTGTTTGCTGTATGTAGAAAGTAAACTTGTTCTAGCATAGGAATGCATATTGATGGCATTGATGCTTACCCGTATAAAGGATGTCCTGCCTAATAACAAGTAGTTTAAAATACCTTAAATACACATTTCACAATGTTTAACAGCATTACTGACAGCATTACTGAAATAAGAGCCTTTTATGGGAAATACTGCCTTTCAGATGAAAAGTCCGTATTTCTTTATCAAAAATACTTGTATGGATGTCAGTTTTGTACAAATAGACACACTTGCATTGATTTCTTATTTATCAAGCACTTGGGAACAAGTTCTACATATATACATTGTTCAAGTTATTGAACCCTTTTTACATTTTGAGATTTTTAGATGAGAATTTGTCTAACATGGAGTCTCGGGGTGGTGCAAGCGGGGAACCCTGTGGCTACCAGCAGAAAGGTTGGCAGTTCAAACCCACCTGAAGGCGCCATGGAAGAAAGGCCTGACAATCTGATTTCAAAAAGTCACAGTCATGAAAACACTGTAGAGTGCAGTTCTACTCTGCACATATGGGGTCGCTGTTAGTTAGAATCGACTCTATGGCAACTGGCAATGTCTAACATATGTCACAAAGGTTTATGTCTTCCTAATAAAAGATACATTGTATAATTAGCCTTATCTTGGCAATGTAAAATCATAGTTATAAATATTAATTACTGCATCAAGGTGATGCTTTCAGGGGCAATTTTGGGCTATTTACCCAATTCTAATTTGTTTTAGATAGATTATAGTTCTTTATGAAACATTTCTGTCTGTTCTTTACAGTTTTTCTGTCTCCCTCCTCTATCTGTTGCTTCCTGCTGCCGGCATTGTTTCTTCCTTTTGAAACCTTGCTCTTTTCTTATCCCCACTGTTGGCCCCTGATTCACTGCTTCTGGTTTGCTGTGGGTTAAAGTCAGGTAACCAAGTATCAGTAACCCATTGTTTCCATTGTAGTGCACTAAGGGTGAATGCCAAATGAAGAGTGTTAATGCAGGAATAACTAGATTTTGAGGGAGGACATGGCCCACTAGCCTGGGAGTAAAATGCAGAAGCCTCAGTGATCCTTGTACTCCTGTTTAGCCATTCAGTTACTTCATTTAGTCTTTGGCGTGTACTTTTTGGCCAGTTCATGAGGATTCGTTTGTCTTCACGTGCACATGGAGAGAGTCAGGTCAGTCAAAAGATATTTGCTGAGCATCTACTATATGTCAAATACGTATGCACAGACTCCTTTGATTGCATGCTGCAGTTGACATAACATATGCAGGACTGCAGATACCTTGATAAATACTTATATTTGAATTTTCCTTTCACGTTGAAAGTTTTATTTAAGACCATCCATCCTTAAGATTTGCAAAGGGTCTTACTTAATTTTTAAACTTTATGACTTGATACGTAGTTATGTCAAAGAATCTATAAGTGGCACTTAAATGAAAGTTGAATTTTCTTCTTGCAATTAATGTGGACCCTAAGCTATAGGGTAACTTACGTCCTTATAAATGGTAGCTATTTCTCATGTGTCATCAGATCTGAAATAAGAATGTATGTTCTATAGGCTTCATTCAGTGTAGCTGCCATAATGATAATGTATTCAGTTCTGATTATCATTTATAGATTTTATAGTAACACAACCTATGTTACTAGAGTTTTGTAAAGATATTTTATAATTTTTATTTAGTTCTAAGCTTGATATTAAATCATATTTTGATAGTTTACCAACATTATCTGGGAGTCAAACACACAGGATTTCTTTATAAACCAGGGAGTATTGATTTTGTTGTTGTTATTTCTAAATTACAATATAAAAATATATTTTGTTCAAGTATACTTTCAAATAAAAAGAATTCCCAATCCTCTGTGGCTACTAATTTCAGGGATTTTTTTGACCCTTTTGGTGCATGTTATATCTCATTGGCTTCAGATTCTTGGGGAGCAGTGAAAACACTGTAGGCACATTTGGCACAACTTGTCAAATAGCCAACTGACGACAGGGGACTTGGGCTTTGGCAGCCAAACCGCAGGTGGCAAATTGATGAAAGCTTCTCCACCTTCTCTGTGGAGCTTGTCACTGGAAGAGATGGCCATTACTCTTTCAGATCTAGAGGTGGCAATTAAAATTTCAAATGCTTGCTCCTGCCTGATGGCGTTTTAGGTAAACACATCCCTGATGTCGAATAAAGAGATTTGGTGAGAAACTCTGTTTTTAGGAGTATAACCTGAGTGACTGTTCGCTCTTTCCATAGGATTCAACCATCTAAGAGAATCGTATACAGCTATTCAAAGTACATTGGAACAGATTATTTACTAATGTAAGAAAATTAACATGTGAAGTAAAATAAGAACATTCTATAACTAAAGTATAATATGCCATTTTTGTTGAAAAAATTACCTCCATACACAGCTGGAAGAATATATACAGAATAGTAATAGTGCTTATCTTTGGGAGGTAATAATTGTAAGTGATTTTCTTGTGTGTGTGTGTGTTTGTGTGTGCATTTTACATTTCCAACAATGATCTTGGATTATTTTGCAGTCCAAAAACAAGTTATTAAAAAGCGTTTTTTAATTTCTTTCCACTTTTCTCCTAAAGTAAAAGGTAACTTTTTCTCTAATACTCAATAACCTGTCAGTCAGGGAAGGGGGAGGGGACACACTGATTTGAGATTTAGAAGACCTGTTACCAGCTTTGACTGGTTCATTCAACAAATACTTGTTGAGTATCTACATTGTGCCCAGGCAGTGTTGGGGATCCTGCAGTGCACAAGCCCCTGGGAAAAGACAGATGATAAGCAAATATTTATATCTTGTGGTAGTAAATGCTAAAATGCCATGAAGAAAAAGGATAAAGGTATTAGTAGATGTGGAGGAAGGGAGGTGTCAATTTCCCTCTATAGGCCTAAGTTTCTTGTTAAAAAGAAAAAGAGTTAGAGCAGAGGATTAATGAAATCCTTCCTTCTCTAATGTTCTGTGACTCCTGTGACTTTCAAATTGCAGTTGGCTGCTCACGTGATTATGTCACCCAACTGCAAAAATGGGTCAGTTCTAGCCTTGAGATAAAAAAGCAAATGTGTATTCTGAGAACAGTATTTGATTGATAGCAGTTTATGTTTTAAAAAATAAGCAGTATTAGGAAGCTGATGATAGGGAACACAAAATAGAGTAAGGATATTGTTGATGTGTTGTGAGATTGTTAACCATTGTCATAGGGCAACATTTGTAGTAACTGT